GTGTGTGTAGACAGTGAGTAATTGATCTGCAGTCAGAGAGTATTATTGAAGTTGAACACGTTCTTTTTTATAGCGTTTGTTTTAGCGCGATTCTTGAAATCAAGTGTATCGTAAAGTTATATTCGGAAAGAATAAACCAGTTTTATTAAGTAAGGACTTGTGTCGCTAAAGTTTCGTCGGAACAAATTTACGGAAAATCAATTAACGATTGGAGGCGTAACAGTATTTCTCGTCTGAAACTATGTTACATTGCATAGTATCTTTGACAAGTATTAAGTATATAAAACATGGTCTGAGAATATTATTTTGTATTGCCAAGGCCATATATTAATAATTTTTAGTCTTGACTACTTTAAAATATTTTAGTTGACTTGGAATTTTTTGAAACAGAGTTATGGAATGCATCTTATTTAGTAAATTGCTGTGCTATGTTACGAAAGTATTTTATAAATGTTTATTTATTATTCTAATTTAAGGCGGCATCTAGCAATGAAACGTGTCATAACCCTAGAAGCAACGTGGTGGTGGCACGTTGCCTGTCTGGACTCTGTATTGTGTTTTGTTCATTGTTCGTGCAGCAACGAGTCAGGCTATTACGAGTGGTATTACTATTAATAATAATTTTAAATATACTGGATAAGTTAAATATCTGAGAATTGATTTATTGTAGTCACGATAAGCTAAAATTTTAATTATACTTCCTATAGTACATTATAATTTACACTTATGATTTGTTTCTAATTATATTTTAAATCTAATGAAGGGACTAAAGTAATGTAAATTGTAATCACTATTAATGAGTAATGTATAATTACAAATACTGAAATTTGAAATTGTACAAGTACTACAATGATACAAGTTTTGATAATTGAAATGAAATTTCGTTAGACAATTAACTAAATTGTGAGTAAAAATTTGCTAGTTCTTTGTTAATTTTTTGATTTTCGGCTTCTTTTGAAGAAATCGAGATAAAATAATTAATGAGCAAAGCGCTAATGAACATTTACTGTCCATTTAGGTAAATGAATTTTATTTAAACTTTCACCCCTTACTGTGTAATAATTAATATAAAATTATAATAATTATTATGAACTTTGAAGTAGAGTGAAGACCAGGTCTCTGCACAAGGTATAGTAATTGATTTAGTAAGGTTACTGGGTAGTGTTCAACTTCAAGTCAATTCAGGATGTTGTTTGATAGATTTTTTAAGCAGAGTATTCATGTTGAAGGAACACAAGTATAGAGGATGATGTTTTGAAAGTCTTTTGTATTCGGGTCAGTTCAAGGTGCTTGAACTATACACTGACTGAAACAGTGAAAATAAATCATGAGATTGTCCTGTTTTTTAATAACGTTTGAAATCTAAAGAGCACAGTTACATAGTCACTTTTCTGCCTACCTTTATATATTATGTAAAAACTAAAGTATTTAGGCATAACTGGGCAATGAAAGTGCCAAATAAAAAGTAGTGTACACCATGTTTTAGTAGCAACAATTTGCAATTTGACTCTCCTGATATTTGATGAATATTTGTTTTTATGTGTTTTTTCTTTCTTGGTGCTTGGTGTTCATTGATCTAGTTGGCCATTCCACTCCACAAAACTCTATGTACTGGTAAGGATGAAAGTATTTATGGAGATAACATTTCATCAAATAATAGCTGATGGTGATACTTAGCAGGACTCAGGAGTATTGGGAGAATATCTTGATACCTAAATGAACAATTTTTGAATTAGGGAAAAGCACAGAATCCAAGAAAAAAGTATGAAAATTCAGATTAAGGAATACTGCTGGGTAATACAATAACTCATACAATAACATTTCTAAGTTTTGAAATATTGTTCCAAATGAGACATCATTTTTGGAGAGTAACTAAACAATCTGTTATGTTCTAGCCACAATGGAAGCCATGTAGTATAGACATATCGGACAAAAGAAAGGCCATTAGCATATTCAGTTTACCAAGAAAAACTATGTAATCATGTATATAAATGTCTTGATAGTACACAATAGTAAAAAAATAAGATGCTGAGCCAAAAGATTGGAAGAACCAGTAGACTAAGGAATATGCATCAGCCTTGAAAATTTCCAAACAGTTGTACAGACTCATACTTTCCAGCTATCATCATGAAAATATTAAAGAGAAAGTTCAAGGAAAAACACTCAATTGTTGAAATGTGGAGCAGATAACATAGTCATGTCCTGGTGCAGAGTCACATTAGTGCAGGGCTTCCTGAAGTTCAGACAGTGTAAATGGATTATTGATGGAGTCAGAAGAGTCTTTCCTCAAGTTTTCTGATGTAACTGTCATCAGGAATGAACTGAGTTGCAGAGCTTATTTACTCACAATAGTGGAATAAATAAAGTATCAAATTCGATGACGAGGAACCCACTTTGAGACTAATAATGGCTTGGAGACGGCTTGAATGGGTAATGAAGAAAAACTTTAATATAAGTTTGACATAACAGCAAATGTACAACGTTTCGTCAAGGTTTTGTCATCATCAAAACGTTGTACATTTGCTGTTATGTCAAACT